TGGCGATTCCCTTTTCGCTTGTATAGGTGCACGATAGTTGCGTCCTTGAAATCTTGCGGGACTTCACCTTGACGCCACATCTCCTGGAAGAGCGCAGTCAGGTGATCCATCAGTAGGGGACCTCCGTGCTTGTAGACCTCAGAAGGGATTGCGTCCGATCCGGGTGCTTTCCCGCTGGACAGCTGCTGCACGGCCCTGATCGTTTCCTGGAGAGATGGCGGGAGGTCGAGGTCCGCGTTGGTCGCCACTTGCGGCAAGCGGGCGACGGCGGCTTCGGAGATAACGGAAGCGCGGTTGAGGACGCCTCGGAAGTGCTCGGCCCATCGCTGCAGGATTTGCGTCTTCTCAGTCAGGAGAGTGCTGCCGTCGGCGCTGAGGAGAGGAGCAGTGCCCTTCGTCGGCGGTCCGTAGACAGCTTTGATCGCGGAGAAGAAGTTCTTCCATTCGTTGCGGTCCGCGTAGCCTTGGATCTCCTCAGCTTTGCGAGCAGTCCAGGCGTCCTGCATCTCGCGCAGTCGTTGCTGAAGCTGTCGGCGACTGCGGTAGAAGGCAGCTTTGTTGCCCTCAGGTGGGCGCTCTACGTAGGCTTTGTGGAGGCGGTTCTTCTCGGCAAGCAGACTTCTGATGGCAGCGTCGTTGTCGTCGAACCAGTCCTGGTGTTGGCGGGGAGCGCGACCGAGGACGGCGAGCGCCGTCGACTGGACTGTGTCACGCAGTTGACACCAGCGGTTCTCCACGGAGGCGTTCTCGGCAGCGGCGGCGGCGTCGTCGGCGGCGGCAGCGATAGGAAGGTTGTCTAGCCGTTGAGCTAGCTCATTGCTGAAATGGAGACGGTGAGCAGGCAAAGACAACAAAGCAACATTCAGCTTACCTGGGGGTCGCTTACCTTGAGGTCTCCTGCGAGGCTGTAGGCGAATACGCATCTTCGAGATGACGAGGCGATGGTCGGTCCACCCGTCAGCACCCGCGATCGCCTTCGTCACCAGCACGTCCCGCTGATCTCGCCTCCGGACGAGGACATAGTCCAGCAGGTGCCACTGACGCGACCGAGGATGCCTCCAGGTGGCCTTCTCTCGCTCCGGTAGACAGAAGAAGGTATTCGTCAGGGTAAGGCGGTGTTCTGCGCAGGTGCGGAGGAGCAGCAGGCCGTTGTCGTTGGAGCCGCGGAGACCGTAGGGACCCAGCACTCCCCTCCAGGCAGTATGGTCTGTGCCGACGCGGGCGTTGAAGTCACCAAGGACAATCAACTTGTCCGCCTTCGACACAGTCGCCAAGAGGGCGTGCAGGTCCTCGTAGAATTTGTCTCTGACGGCGTCGGAACTGGTCATCGTCGGAGCGTAGGCGCTGATGATGGTGGCGAATTTGCCTCCCCAGAGAGGCAGGCGGAGGCTCATCAGGCGATCGTTGATGCCCTGCGGCAAACAGGGCAGTCGTCCTACGATGTCGGTCCGGATGGCGAAGGCGACGCCTGCGTCTCGTCGCTCTGCCTTGGGTCAGCCACTCCAGAAGAAGGTATAACCGGCACCCACCTCCTCCAGTTGGCCTTGTTCGGAGAATCGGGTCTCGCTGAGTGCGGCGATGTCCACCTTGTAGCGCGCCAGTTCTCGTGCCACTGGCGCCGTCCTCCGTTCCGGTCGGTTGCTCATCGGATTGTCCAAAAGGTAACGAACATTCCAGGCTGCCAGAGTGAGCGGGCTCACCCTGTCAGTCTGGGGAAAACGAGTGGGGCGACGGGAAGGAGGTGGAGAAGAAGATGACGAAGGAGAAGAATAGGCAGAAGAATAGACGGAGGTAGAGGTAGAAGAGGTAGGATGAGGAGAATGAGTATGGTTGTTGTTGTTGTTGTTGTTTCGAGTTTGATTGTTTCGACCGTGAGTTTTGCGTCTGCGACCACGGTGCGCCAGCAGACGACGTGGTTCCCCAGCAATTTTTAGGCCAGCTTTTCCAGGCCCCCCCGAAGGAAGCAGTGCCCTGACCCCTGAATAGGGGCTGCTTGATGTGCCGGCGCGGCCGAACTCCACTGTGGGCCACGAGTTTTTTTGGCGGTGGAAAAACGGCTGGAATTTGCCAATGGCTTACGGCATTGCCGCAAGCCTGCGGTCTCCTACGGTGCACCAGATGGGCGCGTGTCGACGGTGCCGATTCGGAGATCCATCCCACCGGCTGATCAACGGCGTACCATACGGAGCCTCGTCTAGACGATGTCGATGCGACGTTCCACCACCAACCGGCTGACCAGCGGTGTGTCAGACAGAGCCTCGTCACGACGGCGCCGACGCGGTGTTCCATCCGACCAACCGTCCACGGAGTCCGCAGTCACCTGTGCACGCGGCACAACGCGCACAGGGAGTAACCGCCCTCACCTGGTTTAGCCCGCCGGTCGAGACGGTAACCCGGGGTGTGGCCGCTGAGCAGAGTGCCAGCAAGTGGACGCTAGGCGTAGTCTCACCTGCAAGCAAGTGAGCGACCACTACGACCTTCACGTGAACCCACCGCTGACACCCCTACACCCCATGTCTGTATGTACTTGAAGGGTTACAGACAGGGCCCTTGATGACCTTGTTTATGGATAATGACTTCGCATATTCACACTCAAAATAAAGTCGTAAACATTTAGAATGTGACCGGTCAACAATGCAAAACTGATAATAAGGAATCGCTTCTGTCCACTATGAGACAATACGGAAAGATTGTGCATGACGAATTGTTTTTAAAACAGGCTGAAGTAGTCATGCTGTAAAAGTCGGTCTTTGTCGAAAATCTCGCGTGTAAGTTTTCTCTTATACATGCGGATTTTGTCGGCCGTCATCATCTCATTGGCGGCGGGTTCTATGGTTGACTGAGCGCCAACTTCACATGATCCAGCCGCGCGCGTTCGCCCTTGACTTTGTAGGGGTAGCCTCGTAGCTAATACGTAATGGCCAACACAAAGACGCCCTCAGGTCTCAGTGAGGAACCATGGTCTTGGATAACCAGGAATGTCCAGCATAGACTGTAGTTTAGTTGCCTACAGGATAGAGGGAATAAGTCAAGCAAATTCAGCCTCGCCTTATATGACAAATGTTGTAGATCATCGATTATCTTCGTTGCTCTGCGTTGCACCTGTCCGAGTAGGTCAATATTTGTTCTCATTCATGGTGCAACTGCTGACATTCCATATTTCAGGTGGGGTTATACAAAAGCGCCGAGAAGTCCTCTGAGGTGTTCGTGAGGAAATATTTTACTTGCACGTCTGATCCCGTGTAAATTACTAGGTGCCTTCTGGACCGTCTTCCTACAGTGTTCTGACGACATTAGGTTTGTAGTCGTCCATACACACAGAACTCCGCGTCTTTCTACATCTTCTAACGTCGTCACGTCATTACAGTACTTGTCTTTGGAAGAGCCATCAGTAAAATTCCTGGGAGAAACACTTATTCACAGGACTGCAGCACACTTCAGACAGTCCAACTCTCATTCATACGCTAGATACCTGTGTATGCTTATGAGCCGGCACCATTTTTGGGAGATTTATTCTAACATGTTGCCACTTTACACGCATACAGTCAAACAAGATTTTGAAACGTGATTTCGCTCACACAACCCTCTTTTGATGAGCGTTCTGTGGTTTAGCTCATGCATCATGCTAGTGTATATTCTTACGGACGAGCAACGAGGAATTAATCTAGATGAATTAACGCTATAGGTGAAATAATCCGACAAGCTTGCAGCGCAAATTTCAAAGATAGTTTGGAAACTCTATAAGGTCACTCACGTCTTGATGTTACTGGACGATTACATAAAGAGTGACCTTCCGTGGTCAGAATTACCACCTGAAGTCCAACAGTTTCTAAACAACGATGAAGGAGAATATGATGCGCGTATCTTAGTATACTTTTTGCAAAATCAGCTTGAATATGGCGGCAAGTTAATAGCAAAGGTAACTGCCTAACGAGCT